CTTCCAGTCAAAACTGAGTGAAACAGGAACAACACTCAACCACGTCATCATAAATAGTTAGAAACGACTGTAAAAAGTAGCCAGGAAGCCAATTTTATGACTAAGACGGTAGAAAATAGGACAAATCGTGTTTTCAAAAGGCAGCTCTTGTGTAACCGAATGAAATTAAATTCTTATCTTAAAGCCTGAAGCAATAAAAATAAATAAAGGAAGGATATTAACATGAGCTGGCACTCGAAAAACTCCTTTAAAGCGACTAAAAGGGAGACTTTTTGTCCATCCTTGAATCCACCCGCCTTCATCTGTTGTGTTTATTTGCCTCTGACCCCCGTCACACAACACTTACATTGGTTATGTCGATGAAAGCGGTCCTCTTCTTAGGGGCTCCATGAGGAGGGGAGGAAGACCTCTTCACCTGTGGGCCTTCCTCCTGCAACACAACAACAGGGAGAAAACACACCAATCACATGCATGGCACCAGGCTGCACGAATAAAAGGAGTTATTTGCATTTTAGTATAACCCTCATTGTGATTTGTAGCTGCTGCAGTGGTTACTTTGTTTGCAGCCTTTTTGCACTGTTGCAAGCTGGGTTTTTCAAAGTAAAGTGCGTTGTTTGTGGTACCTGGTTCTCGGTGGTTGTTGCAGAAAGCTTGGGTATCTTGCTCCCAGCGGTGACTGTGGGTTTCTTTCCCCTCGGTAAAGGCATGGCTGTCTCCTTTATCCGCCCACAACTAAACTCTGCAGCGGCTGCACGGTGGTCTGCTTTGCAAACAAACAAACAAACACACAAAAAAAATGTCGGGTCGCTTTTTAAAAGTGCTGTATTTAAGCAAAATCAGGATATGAAAGCCGGATTCACTATCATGCACCTTTGTGTTATTAACTAGGGTTGGGTTTCCGCTCCTGCAGTGGGAATAAAGAGCTAAAACAACCGCTCAAACTTATTTTTCTCTTACCTTCCTCGACGGTTCCTGCTGGTTCGACTTTAGGGCCGAGAAACACCGCAAGCAGCGCGTTTTTAAGCGTTGTAAACAGTCCAGTTTGTGTCTGTGTCGCTTCGCAGACGAGAGCTCAAACTAAAAAGTGTTTCAGCTGCGAAATCCAAATCTGCTGCGCCGAGCTCCCATTGGCTGGGATTTGAGCCGGCGGACCAATCAGGGAGACGCTAAGGATGCCGTTGCTAGGGGGCGTAGGTTTCGGTGTAACGGCTGCGCCAGAGTGCGTAGCTACCGTAGATACCGATTACCCCGCCCAAAGAATAACTCATTACACGTGATAACAAGTTATTATATGAGTTGTTATGTGTTTGTTTATGTTGTGTACTTGAGTAAGTGTGTTGTTTTTGTCAAGCGAATAATGATATATTTACGGCGAGCTTGCACAAATAACCTCCGCCCACCTCGCTTTCCGGGTGGAGAAATCCAACGAACCCCGGGATTTTCAAACGTCCTGGCAACCGGCAGCCGTTTAAACGTTGGACGTTCTTATTGACGTCATTAAACTGACGCTGATGGACACGTGACATGGGTTATGTGCCTTAGTGCGCATGATCAAACAATCAAAACAAGTCCCTGTTGTTTTTATTTACAGTCTGTATTTATGGGCTTGTTTACATTGTTTTTCTACCATTTTATGACCTGTGTCTTCTCTACCATGTATGAAAAATAGAAAAATACAGAAATAAATAGACCCACGTCCACAAACTAAACCTTGAATGCCATAATTACTTAATTAATTTACGTCTAAATGACAAGATTTGGATCAGAAACGGCTGAAAACTCCCCAAAAAGAGAGAGTAAGGGGACCTTGAGTAGATAATATTTGTTTAAAGATGTTTTAATCTGTAATCTGTAACTTCTGCAACAGCACAATCTTTAAACAACTCATTAATATTTATTTTATTTATTTAATTCAGCACTTACTGTGGAATACATTTACTTTGGATATATTAGAATATATTGTGTATATATATATATTTTTTTACATATATGTAAATACCTATACATACATTTCTATTCTATATATTGTGTTAGATGTTGTAATATAAGTATTATGTCTATTCTTTAACATTGTTTTAGTAGAACAACTGTAACAAACTAATTTCCCCCAGGCATCAATAAAGTATTTCTGATTCTGATTCTGATTTTTTAAATAAAAACATTTAAAATCTGGCGTTAGGATACGTATCCTGATACAGGGGTTACGATTCAATATATTGCAATTTAATAACAATCAATACAATGAATGTCTGTCAAAGACCCTAAGAGGACTTTTTATTTTGTGTTGATTCTGGCGCCCCCTGTGGACACAAGCAGTAATGCTCCCACCGCCTCCTTACATTGATTTCAAGGGGAATACGACTGAAATTACCTCGATATAGAACTTTATAGGAGCAGCCAATCTTCTCACTGATGGTCCTGTTTGTTTATGTAGGTCATATAGAGGCATCAGTGTTAAAAATAAGACATAATGTGGAATAAAAGCCTCACAAAAGGAAGAATAGCAGGTTTTGTAAGGCAGATTTTCAACTCGCTTGTGTAACGAAGATCCTTGGCGTGTCACGATGTCCCCTCAGGCAGTCGTACAGGACTGAAGTGACCCTTAAAATCTCTTTCAAATGATCACGTTGAGCAATGAGCTCACCGACACACAGATAACTATTTCCTGAAGTGGAGCAGAGAGAGCGCAGAGGGCCTTCTGGGGCCCACAACACGGAGTTACTGCAGTAATAGTTTGGATAATAGCGGGTCATAAAATCACATTTGTGCACTCGGAGGGCAGGTTTGGGACGGACTCGGTGGGGGGAAGCTGGCAGCTAAAATCCATCTAGCTGCCATGAGTTTTGGGAGGGTCATCATTGAGTGAGAATAACGGGAACAGACGCCATAAAGTGCATCTTGGTCTTGTTAAGAGACTTCATTTTAAATCCTCTCCTGACCTGATGCACACCATCAGTGTCACATAGCGCTGTGTAATCTCTGAATACACCCTGTTATAAAGTCTCTCCGGACACGCCGTCATCCACCTCTAAAAATTGAGTTTGCGTTCGCTGTATTTGAACAGCATACTGTAACGCTGCTTCAAGTGCCAATCTGGCGTCTAATGAAGTCTGCAGAGAGGTATCATCTCACAGCACTGCTTTTATTTCATCCACCACCTTCTCCTCCGCTGTCCTCATCCAAGATTTTTAAAAAAGCGTGTGTCTACATCAAGAGCTTGGAGGATGAGTTTTATTATTCTTAGGATTTTGGTTGAAGGTTTCAGTCTCTAAATTCAGGGTCATGGATGTTAAATTACACAGTTTTGTGGGATTGTCCAGTGACGGGATGTAAATAAGTACATTTACTCTACTTGTATTCTTCTTTAGTATTTTCTTATGTTACTTATGCTGGTTTAAATGGAAATATTTTTTACTTCCCTACAAGTACCTGACAGCTTCTGTTACTGTACAAATTAGGTTTTCTTTCATATAAAACACATGAAGAGCTTATAAAATATGTTTTAAATTAAACTACCTGACATAGGCTGTATGTTGATATCACGGTTGTAGCTTCTAAAATGTGAATATTCGCTGTTTTTCCTTTTAATTATTTTTAATTTATTGTTAATAATAATTGGCATTTATCACTATTTTTTCTGAACTTTTACAGACCAATCAATTAATTTTTTAAGTAATTTGTAATGAAAATAACACATAAATGGATAAATAACCAACTATAACTTAGTTACTATTGCACGAGTAATCTAAAATAAATAATAGTTTAACACTCATTGTGTACTTTTACTTGAATATTTTAAGTACATTTTCCTGATTATATACTTAAAAACTTTTACTTAAATCAACATTTTCAGGACTTAAAGCTGAATATTTTTCACTATTTTACTAAAGTAAAGGAACAAATACTTCCTCCACCTCTGGAAATTATATTTAAAATACTAGTTCCTGTCTGATTCTGACTCTTCTCCCCATCCTCTCCTCCTCCTCTTCTTTCTCTCACGACCATCTCTTCATCATCTTGACCCCATGAACAAAAGGGAAAAATGATTCTTCTATAAACCCAGAGGGAGGTTATATCATGTGTATGTCATGTTGTCAGTGAGTTAGACTACTGCAAATAACACACACACTCTCTCTTACACACACACACATACACACACATTCACACACACAGGAAGTGAGTGAAACTTTTGAGGCCATTTGTCAAACCATTTCCGTGTAAACTCACTCGCTGCGGAGAAACCAAACAGCGAACCATCGCCCCTGTTACTGACTGGTAAGTTGGTCCCCAGGCGCTATATATACGCCACCTGATGCTTCCTGTGTCTTGTTCTCGTATTTTATAGCACATTTATGTAACTTTTGGCTTTAATTTTATCCAATTTACTTCTAAAAAATGCCTTCTGAGTTAGTAGTTACCCTCTTTTTTGATCTGCCATACTTTATAAATCTTAAATGCAGGTTTTCTTGCCTCTTTTTGGTTAGAAAATCTACTTTTGTTGTGTTAAATCTCGGCATTTCTGTGTGTTTTCTTGGGATAACAGAGGTTTTTTTTGCAATATAGCAAATAAAAGATGATAGTTTTGGTAATTTATCAACAAAAGTGGATTGTAGAACCTTAAATACTCCCTTGACTAAGAAACACTGATAAAGGGTGGAGCAGAAACATAGATTTTTATAAAAGGTCAACAGAGGGATTGGATTTCCAACATTATGCAACAGGCCGAGCGCTGTTTGTGGCGGTCACTGCGAGCAGAGACGTGTGGCGAGGTGTTGTTAAAAAGAAGTAAGTGGCATTTGTTTAGACAGGGGTTGCGTAACACAAGAACACCCAGGAATAAAGTAGTAGAAGAAGCATCCTCAGATCATAAACATAATTTTTTTTTGCCCGTCAGGATGTCTAAAGCCGGACTGCCAAGAGAAAACATTCTTTGTTTCAGCTGTAATTTGTTCCACATCTGCGCTTCATTTTCTATCTTGTCCTCCTCCCTGGGCTGTGTCCATCTTGAACTCACACCAAGAGACTATAACGTTTGCTCAAGTTACTTCCAAAAGTTACTTTGGCTGCAAGGAGAAGCTCAGACAGAAACTGTATGAGTGTGTGTGTGTTACCACATGAGTATGTTGGATTTGAGTTTAACCTGAAGTTTTTATACAGTAGTAATAGTGAAAGAAAAGTAGTAGTACAGTAGTTGAACCCAAAAAGGAGACGAGGAAGTGTGAAGTTTAGTTTCACATTACTTTCTCATCTACTTCATCTAGTTCCTCACTCATTTAACGTCCTAAAACACAACCTGCTGAGCATAAACTGTATTTTTAGTAGCTTAAATAAGTATATTTGATGATATTTTGATTGCATTTTGTCTGCTAGCTATACAAAGATTCACAAACCTTGAGACAGAAGGGTCAACAAATAGAAATGTTAGCAAGTGTTAAACTAAAAATGTAGATTATTGCTTTTATTGCTTTAAAATAATAACTAATAAATAAATAACTCATTTGATCATCATTTTAAAACTTAAAGATATAGTTTGACATTTATTCACTTTCTGTTAAATGCTTCATGTCAGGCACAAAATCCCCCATAAAACCACAACACTTCAGTTTTTGTGTGACTTAAACACAATATTATTATTATAAGTAGGCGGATTTTGTCCCCTTTATTCAGAGCCAGTGTAACTGTTTCCACTGGTTTCCATTCTTTGTGCTAAGCTAAGCTACGCAGCCTTGATCTTTCTCATCTAACTCTGTTGCACTTATGTGGAAATCATTTCAAGAATCTCTGAGTAAAATAAAGTCTGTACTTTATTCATAAGACTGACAAACAGCAAACAAACATATCAGCACCGCTTTGTGACTCTAAACCCCTGGAGAGCAATGATAGCTTGTATGAGTTTCCACGTTGTCTCATATAAATAACTCATTGCACTAACACACACTCGCAGGATATGAAAACCAACACTTGTTTTCTGAATCAGAAAAACTTTGGCGAAACAAAGCCCCTTTAAAACATTCATGTGTCCATCCAAAGCTTTCTTTCCCCCCCATCTTACTGAAATGGACACAGATGTCTTGTTCAGAATCAGAATCAGAAATACTTTAATAAAAAGAT